ACGTCATCAGCGCTTAAATTTTCAGACGACGACAACGTCAATCGTTACGCTTTCTCAACAACATAGAAAAAGCTCTCGTCAAAAGCGGCATAGATTTTCCATCTTGTTTTCGTAAATCAATTTGCTGGATCATGACGAAATCCCCAAAAAATGATAAACGGGAAGGAGGAGGAGGAGAAGAGGAGGAAGAAAGCGACGTTGCCAAACAGTGGATCGATTACGTTCTCAAGTAAGTCACGGAGAAAGAAAAGAGAAAAAATAAATAAATTTTTCAAAGTTTTTATTTGTCCGAATTAATTTTTTTTCCAGGTCTTGGTGGTTCGAACGTTTGACGAGAGGTACGTTCGTCGATGACGTCATTAATAACAGTTCGAACGCTTGCGATTTGAAATGTTCGATGAATTATAAAAATCTTTTCGCATTCACTGAAATGATTAAAATGGGAAAAAATTATTTTTTTTAAATGAGAAAAAAAAAATAATTAAATTCCACGCCCCCCCCACCCCACCCCCCGATAAGTTTTACCTTTTTCCGCTTTTTCACTTTGGAGCTTGATGTCGATAATAATAATAATAATAATAATAATAATAATTGAATAAAATTTATTTCTTATGCAAATGAGGCGCTGATATTTTTACTTTTCCAGGAAGATTCCTTGCTAAATTTTCATCTTTCACGCTCTTGAGAAGATCTTTTTCCCTGTTAATCAAAATAATAATAATGATAATAATATTATATAAAAGTTAATAACAAATAGCATGAGAGAGAAGGGCTAAGGCAAGAGAGTTTTGGAGAATTTTGGAGAATCAACTAAAGGAATCAGATTAGACCATTTTGGAATACCATAAAATGCCAGAAAAACAAAAGAAAAGATGGAAAACTCGCTCACAAACAATGACAACAACAACGACAACAAATTAAAATCAACGAGGATTTAGGAGGAGGGGGAGGGGGGTGGGTGTGCGCGTGTCACGTACCTCTGAGTGCAATTTTTATCTTTTAAAAACATCGTAACGGCCGTTCTCGCCGCTTTCCCTCTTTTACCCGTACCCGGCGTCATTTTAACTTTGAATCTGAAATCATAATAAAGTAAAGTAAATAAAAACAAATTCGTGCGGGGAAATTTTTTTTCAAGTCGGCGACGGGGAAATTTGTCGCAAACATTTTTCCCCCCTCTTTATTTATATTATATTCCGCTCACTTGTAATTTTGTAGAGTGTTGTAGG